CCAGGAATGAATTCCCATCCCAGGAGCAGAGGGATGCCAGCCCTGGTGCCAACACTCACGTGGGTGACCATGATGTTCTCGGWGGGCTCTGCTCTCTCCGTGGGCTCYGCTCTCTCCGTGGGTTCTGCTCTCTCCGTGGGTTCTGCTCTCTCCGTGCTCTCCGGGGCCACATTCCCACTTGGAGCCTCCTCTTTGCTGCCCGGTTCCCCCGGGCTGGGCCTCCCCTCGTGCACAGAGTGGGACAGGATGGCTGCTATGGACAGTTCCACTTGGAAATGCAAAAAGTTATTCCACGTGTATTTAAAAAATAAATCCTGYGAGGGAAAAGAGAGATGGAAGGATTTACTCGGGATGAACCTTTCTATTTTTGATGATCAATGATATCAGCAAAACAGATCTTTACGGATCTTCCCAACCCAACTCATCCCATCCCAGGATTCTGGGACTCTGTGTTATTAAATTGTTTCCCCAGTTGTTGTCTGATCAGTTTTCCTGCTACACCTCAGCACCCACTGCTGGTTGGGCTCACCCACCAGTCTGTCAGGAAATCACAGATTTCCCGATTATTTCCCAATTATTATTCCCAATGAACTGAGCACTTGGGAATGCTCTCACACACACACAGCACTCATAGCACAGACACGCTGAAAAAAACAACTTAACTGTCCTGGGGCTGAATGAATATTCAGAAAAACAGGAACTAAATAAATTCTAAGGATGAATTAATTCTCTTAAGGCTGCCCAGGTTCTGGGATGCCTTTTCCAGCCTCAGGGATCCCGGGATTCCGGGAGGAAGCCCATCTCTCAGCATTGCAGGAGCTCACACACACAGCACAGACTTTGACACCCTCTCCACTGAACTAACAAGGAATTGGAAGCGTGAAGCTCAGTCCAAACCCTAAAGTCGGGTTTGGATCCCAGAAGCTCTTCCAGGGACAGCTGCTCCTTGAGCAGATCACAGAAATGAGGGGACTTTGGTCCCTGGCACAAACCCTGCAGGGACAGATCCCAGGGATGGCAAAGCTGCTCCCAGCTGCAATTCCTGCCCAGGTACTCACAAGTAACAAGTCCATGGTGCTGAGCCTGCAGAGCTCCTGGTTGATGCTGGGCGTGTTGGTGTGCAGCAGCGCCGCGATCAGCCGCGAGCCGTGCAGCCGCGCGTTCCCCAGAGGCTCCTCCAGCACCCCCAGCGTGGTCAGGATGGCCGATTTCTGAGGAG